TTCGATTCTCGGGACAAGCCCCTCACCCTCTGCTACGATAGACATTTTGTTTCCTTTAAGATAGTTTATAGCCTCATGGTCGACTGCTATCTGTTGTGGAATATTCCTCGCGTTACTCTGTGACGGTCTACATCTAGAAACTGAGCTGCGCGGTGCAGGGAACAACTCTCTCTCACTAAACGCGTTAAGAACTGGACTGAGGAAGCAATTATGAGTTTACAGGGTTGTTTTGATTGCACCGATTGGGGCATGTTTAAGGAGTCCTGTACCAATATAAATGATCTTACAGATGTTTGTTAGTTGTTATGTTTCCTACTGTGTTGAAAATGTAATTCCTGATAAAATTGTACAGGTATATCCAAATAATAACAAGTCATGGGTAAGGAAATCACTTAAGCTGTTACTAAACAAAAAGAGGCAGGCATTTAGGCAAGGAAACTTTTTAGAATTGAATAAGTTGGAAAAGGAAATAAGAAGTGAAATAAGGAGGGCAAAGCAGGGTTACAAAGAAAAAATAGAGAAAGACTTTGGTGGTAGGAATTTACGTTCAGCCTGGGATGGTATGAGAACTGTTATCGGCACCAGGAGAGAAAAGAATGTCAAGGTTGCGTTAGAAGGTTTTAGTTGTGATAGTTTGCTTGCAACAAAGCTAAACAAATTTTGTTTGAGGTTTGATACCACTAATTTTAGTAATGTTATTACAGAGCAGAAATCCCATTTAACTGGAAATGGTGTTGTCCCCTTCTTTGACGAACAAGCTGTGGTCAATATGTTTAAGCACTCTAGATCAGGAAAAAGCCCTGGGCCTGACAATATAAGCAGTCGCCTGCTCATCTCTTGTGCAGAGCAGTTAGGCCCAATTTTTCATTATATTTTCCAAATGTCCCAAGAGCAACAGAGAGTGCCGAAGTTATGGAAACAGTCAAGAGTTATTCCAGTGGCCAAACTAAATCATCCAAAATTATGGATGGACTTTAGGCCAATAGCTCTGACCTCCTTAGTCATGAAGTGTTTTTGAAAAACTGGTTAAAAAAGTCATACTCACAAAAACAGAGAATCTCCTAGATCCAGTACAGTTCGCTTATAGGGTTAAGCATCTTGAAGGTAGTAAAACACACGCAAGGTTTTCATCCGCTTTTAATACAATCCAACCACATATTTTAGTTGATAAGCTCTTAAAGAACTTTGACCTTGATTTTTATATTGTGGGATGGATTCTTGATTTTTTTAACCGACAGGACTCAGAGAGTGAGGGTGAATGGTTGCTTGTCTGAGGAGATGTCATCATCCACTGGGTCTCCTCAGGGGTGTGTCCTTTCACCTCTCCTTTATATTCTTTATTCTGACGATTGCCGCAGCCAGCATGAAAATAGACACATTTTTAAAATTTGCCTCAGCTCTAATGAGGAAAGTGATCATGGTCCTGTTGTGGATGATTTTGCACTCTGGTGTGATAGGGCATTCCTTCAACTAAATGTTGAAAAGACAAAGGATATGCAGATTGATTTTAGGCGCAAGTCATCAACTCCTCAGACCACTATTATAAATGGGAAGACGGTGGAATTTGTAGAAACATATAAGTATCTAGGCAGTTTGATCGACAATAAGTTAAATTTTAATTCGAACACTGAAATGCTTTGCAAAGGAGGCCAACAAAGACTGTTTTGTCTTCGCAAACTGTCAAAATTTCGTGTCGATAAGACTCTCATGACCCTTTTTTATAAATCATACATTGAGTCTGTTTTAACGTTCTCATTGATTTGCTGGTATGGTAGTCTCACTGTCAAGGCCAAAACGGCTCTCTCCAATATAGTGAAGGTCAGCGGTAAAATTATAGGTGTCCGGCAGAGTAGCCTCTCTGACCTGTATGATAGACAGGCAGTTAGGAAGGCCAACGCAGTTATCTCTGATAGCTCTCCCACCCCCTTCATTCTGAGGTCCAGATATTGCCTTCTGGGTCTCGGTACAGATTGCCTCCAGTGAAGAATAACAGATACAAGCATTCATTGGTCCCCAGAGCCATCTTGTTCATTAATTCAGCCTGGAGGAGTAGACAGACTATAACTATTAAATAGTGATGGGGTTATTATTATTATGATATGTATAGTATGGCTTGTTTTTGATGATGTTGCTGCTGAAATAGGGATGGTTATGCAAATGTTGCTATTTTATGAATTGTCAGTTGTTATTTTAACAATGGTTTTATTGGTCACATTTATTTTTCTCAATACTCGGGCCTGTTTTTGTCTTGTATTTGTGCATCTGTGACTGTTCTGTGTTTATCTTGCTGCAAATTCAATTGCCCTATGGGGACAAATAAAAGTCTAAAGTCAACTCTGATTGGCTCATGGAGGCACGTGATCGAAGATGTTATTATAGTGTTTGGTTCAATCATTGTATATTCAAACTAAGGGTGTATTCACACCAGGAAAGTCCGATAGTCTGGACCAAATAATTTTTTTTTTTTTTTTGGTACGGTTCGCTTTCACATTGCTCTTTTTGCAAGTGAACCAAAATTTGTAAACAAAACCACACGTGTGCTATGGTCGTCCATTCATTGGACAAGGATTCTCAAGTAGGAAAATCAGGAAGTCCAAAAAAGGCTCAGCGTGGATTGGAGATATTTCGTACTGCAATATTTGTTCTTTTCCTAATTTTGTGTTATTCTGTACAAACGCAATATGAAGAAACTAATGAGTATCATATGATACAATGTCCCACCTCTCACATCCCCTCTCCTTCATCCGTTCAGTAAACATGTTGAACACATCAGTATTTTTATGTGTCCTCTCCAGCAGCTGTGCTACATGGGCATCTGCCCAAATGTTGATAAGGCAGCTCGTCTCTTCGAAGCTCCAGGTCAAACCACGACTCATTTTATCAAATGTAGTAGGCTACAACAGATCACTTTCCCATAACGCAACTCCGACTACGGAAGCCTGTTAACTCAAAGGCGCAGTGCTTTCTTGCAATTGGGTCGGTTCATGTTCACACCGTAAACGAACCGTAACAGAGTTCGTTTGGAACCGTACCGAGACCACCTCTTCAGCTGGGTCTCGGTTCGGTTGTTTGGTCCACACCCGAGTTCGATTGCTTGATCACCTGCCCAAACGGTCCCCACCAAGGGGGGAAACGAACTAGAGTTCGATTCAATCGAACCAAACAAGGCAGGTGTGTGAATACACCCTTATGAATCCTTAACTTTGAAATCAGAATGATTTAACTTAATGCCTTTTACAAAGAAAGATTGGGTTCAAAATACAACAAATCTTATGAATTACACTTGAAATATTGTTAAATTTGTAATTGTTATTGATTTACCTGTGAAAACTTTTTTTTTAAATAGCAAAAAATATATTTACAAGGCTGATGTAAACAAAATATGAATAGGTCTTCTCTTATCATATGATTTATTACTGTGTTTCGGTAGTGCCAAATTTGGGGAGAGGAAAAATATTCCAAAACTTTGGAAAACAATTATGATAATTAACTGCACAATCACTAGAAATGTGTACCTTGGATATTATACAATTTGCATACATACAAAATTTGTGGAAAAATACAGCTTTTTTTCAAGATTTTTCCAACTCTGACTTTGAACCAATTCTGTAGAATGGCCCATATAAGTCTCGATTGCTATTAAACCATTCAAGCGCGATAAGATGCACAAAAAAAAAAAAAAGAACTTCAATCTGTACTGGCGCTCTGTCTGTATCTCCTGTCTGTGTGACACACACACACACACGAATTGTGCACACAGAAAGCCATTTCAGACAACGTGCTGACCGGATTTTCTCTTCCGCACTTGAACGGACAAAAACACAAAATTATGCCAAAATGCCCGCTTTGTCGAGTATCCTCGTAAGCATAGTCTTAAAATACATAAATATATTATTATATTGAGTTACATAAAGTCTTAAATAACCGTAAAGAGTTGTGAGGCCATGGGATGCGTGTCGGATCTTAAAGTGACAGCAGCCTAATAAACCTGTTGCTGTCTGTTATTCATTTAAAGCAAAGAACAAAGATAAAAACACTCAATGCTCTTGACTGAATAACTTTTCTAGCATTAATAAGGATATATTTATGCATGAAGACTGGAGTGTTTGATAACTTTATTCAATTTCGGTGTATTTTTCTACCTGTTAGATCAAATATTTAAAATATGCTGTCTTTGATGTTTCTACATGAATTTGGAGATTAACTGTGAAATTATTACAATATAAAAATATATTCAAAACTTTAATGGTAGGTGCGAGTAATCACGATGAATTGCAGAATAATGTGTGATTAATTTGTTTTTTTTTTTGTAATCGATATTATTACAATTTAAATCCTTTTCAAAATATATTTTAAAATGTAATTTATTCCTGTGATCAAAGCTGAATTCAGCATCATTACTCCAGTCTTCAGTGTCACATGATCCTTCAGAAATCATTCTAATACGCTGATTTATTAAGAAAAATTTCTGATTATTATCAATAATCAGATTCTTTGATAAATAGAAAGTTCAAATTAACAGCATTTATTTGAATAGAAATCTTTTGTCACATTATTAATGTCTTTAAAATAATAACAATAATACATTTTATTTATGCGCTTTTCTCACACTCAAAACGCTAACAGAGTAAAAGACAAGAAAACACAAATAACACTATAAAATCTTTCAATATTTTTTTTTTACTATCAAGCACTAAAAAGAAATTTAAGCATTTTTAAGAAAAAAAAAAGTTATTCACCTTATTTATGAATCTTTTCGGGATTTTTTTTTTGTTGAGGATATCACCAGGGAAGTATTGTTAGATTTAGCTTTGGGGGTCAATTTTGTCCCCAAAGTTGAGTCCAGTAACTCCAACAACAACCGCATAAAATATAAAAATCACGTGTGATGAACAGTGTTTTGACCTCATTATTTTCCACCCTAGAATTACAGAAAAAGCTGTTGTTGTTTTCCTGTTTTCCCCTCTCTGTCGGTCTCATTCCTGCATGTCCTCTCACAGGTTGAAGCGTTCCCCCCTCGGTTACAGCGAAACTGTCGCCGTTGCCATGGAGACCAGTTCCTCCCAGTGCCTCAGGAAAGGTGCTCAGTTTGGGAGGTGAGCTATCCCATCATGCAGTTCATTGGCATGACAGTCTTACACCCCACTCGTGTGCATATGTGATAGAGAGAGAGGGGATGGCAAGAGGGCAAACGTCTGTGCTGGAATGAATATATTCATTCGAGTGCAGAGAGAGACAGGACGGTGCCTGCAGTGGTGTTTTCAGATCTGATGTCCCACACACACACACACACACACACACACACAAACCTCGTGCCCTGAATCTTAAAAAGATCCGTCTTACCAGGAAATGTTGCCTCGTATTGTCATTGTTGGAAGATAATCATGCACACTGAAAAATCAAAATAAAAATAAAAATAAATGCTAATAAAAAAAAGAAATAATATTAAAATTATTAATAATAGTATATAAATATTTTAATAACATTTTATGTAGCTTACATTGCATATAGTATAGAATGTATAACAGAAACTTCTGTCCTTATTTACTCACCCTTATGCGTTTACAACCCCATATGATTGTTTTTTGGAACAGCTTGATTCGCCTCACTATTTTTTTATGACACTTTAATGGTGCTTTTGCACCTTTTTCGAAGCTTGAAAGCTTCAGGTTTTATTCAGGGCAATTGCACGGAAAAGATTGTAGTCTCTAAATGTCATATTATTTTGAAAAAAGAAAGTCACATGGGTTTTGAACAACATGAGGTTGAGTAAATTATGACAATTTTCATTTAGTGTTGTTTTTTGTATCATTTTACTTTTTATATTTTATTTTCATTTTAGTTAAATTTATAGTAAAATTATTTCAGTTAGTAATTTTATCACTTCAACTTATTTTAATAACATTTGTATATAGCTTACAGTGCATGTAGTAGACAATTTCCATGTAATGTGATTTATTTATTTTTTAATTTATATACCATTAACTTTTTTATCATTTTACTTTTTATTTTTATATTTTATTTAAATTTTAGTTCTATTTATAGTATTTAAAAAAAAAAATATATAAAAAATATTTCTAAATTAATTTTTATTTTAGTTAGTAATTTTAGCACTTCAAATTGATGTTATTTCAATTAGCTGCCAAGACAACCTTTCTCATTTAAATCTAATATTTATATTTTGTCTTATTATATATATATATATATATATATATATATATTACTTATATTTTGTTTTTTAATAGTTTCCATTTTTAGGTGAACTATCCCTTTACATTTTTTAACAAACATGAAGTACATGTCTCTCTGGAATACTTGATTCTTATTGGTCAGTTGCTTTTCTTCAGTCAAATATTTTTTTCTATAACCCGCTAAACTTTATAATTGACCATTGTTGCACCTGATTCATGTCTCATCACATATTATTAATATCTTTTACAGGCACCTGGTGAATTTCTTCCTGGTTTTGACCCAGCTGGGCTTCTGTAGCGTTTATTTTGTGTTCCTGGCCGAGAACATTAAACAGGTATGTGCGACAGTACTCCAAAATTTCATTTTCTCCATAGATAAGTGGATTTTCACTATATGATCGAGCCAGAGTCGATGAAAACGAATGGAAAAACACATTTCCAGAATGAAGACCATCAGCAGCCAGACAGAATCTGGCTCTAAACGTAACAGCCAATCAAATTTTAGTTTGGAATGAAGTCAAAGCTCTGTGTGTTCTTGTATAGGTGATGGAAGGAGCTCGTCCGAACACTTCCGCGGAGACCGTGCCGTTATACTCCAATAGCTCAGAGGAGGGCCCCGTCTCCCCAGACACTCCTCCTGCCACGGGGCTGGATCTGCGGCTCTACATGGTCTTCCTCCTTCCCTTCATCATCGTGCTGACCTTCATCAGGGACCTGCGGAACATGGCCGTGCTCTCCGCCATCGCCAACCTCTGTATGGCCATCAGCCTCATCCTGATCTACACATATGTACTCCACGTAAGTGTGCGTGTGTGTTGAGGCTGCATGATTGTGGGGGAAAAAATCGAATTGCCATTTTTGATAATTGCAATAAAAAAAAAAAATTAAGCTCCAGGTTTGTTATTATATAGCAATATTTTGGAAGCTTGTTTCTGCCACTGAATAAAAATAAATTAATAAATAATTGCGACTTTTTATCTCACAATTGCGAGATATGAAGTCGCAATTCTGAGAAATAGTCACAATACTGAGAAATAAAGTCGTAATTGCGAGATATAAAGTCGCAATTGTGAGAAAAAAAGACAGAATTGTGACTTTTTCTCACAATTGCGAGTTAGCATCTCGCAATTCTGACTTTATAACACATAATTGCGAGTTTGTATCTCGAAATTCTGACATCTTTTCTCAGAATTGTGAGATATAAACTCGCCATTGCGAGTTATCAGGCCAATTCTAAGGGAAAAAAAGACTAACTTTTTTTCCCCTCAGAATAGTTTATATCTCACATTTCTGACTTTATAACACGCAATTGCAACTTTATATCACGCAATTCTGACTTTATAACACGCAATTGCGACTTTATAACACACAATTCTGACTTTATATCTCGCAATTCTGAGAAATAAAGTCAGAATTGCGAGATGTAAACTCGCAATTGTGAGAAAAAAAGTCAGAATTGTGAGATAAAAAGTCGCAATTACCTTTTTTATTTTTCATTCTGTGGCGGAAACAAGCTTCCATACAATATGACTATTAAATAAAAAAATATTATTATTATTAAATAAACTATTAAAATAAGAAATATTACTATTGTTATATCTAACTGTAAAATAAAAGTATTTAAAGTCCCCCTGTTGTCAATCATTTTATCCCTTAAAACTAATCTTTAAATCATCATGCCTTAAAATAGCTTGAATGTAATTCTACACCCTTGCCTCATTTAGTATACACGGTTCTATGAATATGCAGATTAGCCCCGCCTCCACTCACTCGCACCAGCTCAGAGATCCACTCGTTGACGATCACACGTTGACCTGATTGGTTACAAGGTAGTTTGTTACGTCAGAAACACCAGCAATTTCAAACCGTGTTTTTGAGACTGTCTTTGGTTCACTGCTAGCCTGGGAAAACCCAGACAACTTCCGGCAAATTTAGATTTGCTCTGAAAGTTAGTCTGGAAAAGAGCTCATTCAAGATCATTTCCAATCCCCCGAAATCGAGGCACCAATCAGAAACGTTGGGGCGGGCTTTACACGATGACGACAGCGCTGGGATTTTGAAGCAGATTTTGTAGCCTACATTACAAAGATGGATGCCGCCGTCGAACATCACTGGTTTGAATCAGCTATCGCGTGTGTTTTAAGCGATTTGAACATTTCCTTTTTGTTAAGACCCGAGCAAAGAACAACACTCTGAGATGTTTCTGCCGCTCTGCATACGTCATCTCCTTCATCGCTCTGATTGGGTTTAGGTCTATCCGCGACGTCCGTTGGTGACGCCCCTCTGGAAATGATTTGTCTATGACGCTTTGCCAGACCATAACTCAGTTACAACTGAGAATGGTCTGGTTTTAACCAGGCTAGTTAACTGCAGTTTTAAGGAGAAAATACTCAGCAATGGTGTTGACATGAATTTACACATGGTTTGTCTTAAAGCATATTTAAAAAACACATTAGACATATAAACATTATAAAAAACCTTGATTTAACCTTTAAAATAATAATAAATATAACAAACAGTATATTTATGCATTTGGCAGATGCTTTTATCCAAAGCAAATTGCATTGTATTCAAGATACACATTTTATCAGTTTTCCTGGGAATCGAACACACGACGCTTGCGTTGCTAATGCCATGCTCAATAATAATAATACTATAATTTGATTTAATTGTACAACTATAAAATTGCTAGACTCATATTTATGGTCTTCATTTTCAAACATTAAACCAAACAAGCTTTGATTTTGGTTGAAAACTGCAGGTAAACCTTAAAGCTTCTCTTGAGTTGACAACATCTGTTATTAAAGCGCATGACATTACAAGTTTGAGGATGATTGGCACCAGTGTTGGGGAAAGTTACATTTAAAAGTAATGCGTTTCAATATTGCATTACTCACTAAAAATGTTGCTCAAACAAACTTTTCATTTTGTGCTTCTATTCTGGATTGCAGAGGAATAGGAAAAACAAAACAAAACAAAATACAAATGTGATGTTTAACTAAAGTCATTTTGCTTATTAGTGTGGTTGAATTGGATCATTCAAGGTCTGCAGAAAAGACATTGGTTAATAAAATTAGATTAAATGCATAAAGTATATTTGTGTAATTTAACATTTAACTATTGCACGTTTGCGTAATATTTGCATTTCACTGTTTTTATTCATTTTGAGGAAAACTAAATGTGTTTTTGAGCAAGTGAGATGAGTAAATGCATGTTCACATTTAGTCTAGAACTGCAATAACATGTTCACACAACGCCTCTGCACTTACGATTTCTCTCAACATGCGGACATGAGAGCTGTCAGTCAATACATGGGGAAACAACTTAATTTACGTTATGTATTGGAAAAAGTTACTCAAAATTACTTTTTTAAAAATTTTACTCAAAGTAATTTGTTACTTTTCTAGTTACTTGAAAAAAGTATTCTGATTACATCAAATTGATAGGTTTAATTAAAATGTAATGTCGGATCCAGAAAGTAGTGATGTAGTACTCCGAGACCGCTCTCGAGACCGATTTCTGCTTTCTCGGACTCGTCTCGGACTTGTTCCTTCAAAGACTCTGTTATGGCAGAATTATTCCCATCTCTTTCAAACCAATAAGTGCTGCTACTGCTGATTGAAGCGAGCAGGTGAGATGAGCGGACGGGGAGAGACGGGTGGACTTTGACCCCAAAGGTCAAAGCACAGGCCGGTTTTAGAGCGAGAGAAAGAGCATGACCAAACCCTAAAGTTCAGGTTATTATTACTATTTCCTGACTAGAGAGAACTGAACTTTAGTCCATCTATGGTAGACAAACAGACCTTGAGATAAGCTGTATAAAAACTGCTCTCCCCCTCCTTTCTGGGTTCTCACTTGTCTCGCAGACTGTACATTGACTACCTCTGTGGGCCAATTGAACCTTTCTTGCAAGAAATAAATCATTTTTAATTCTCAGACTGTCTCTTACGCTTTGATGATTGTTTAATGGAAAATTTGCTTTTACAACTCGGTCTCGACTCGGTCTTGACTCGGACTCGGCATAGGCGGTCTCGTCCCCATCACTTGTTAAGACTGCTCCTCTAAACAATTCCCAATCTAGCTTAGTCTGTAGGCCTAACTGTTGATCATTAACTGGGGTGATATTAAATCAATATCAAAACTGACGTCGAGACAAAATCTCGACTCGGACTCGACTGTATTTGAAAAACAACGGACTCGGTCTCGACCCTTCAAAGACTCGGTCTTGACTCGGCCTCGACTGTATTTGAAAACCAATGGACTCGGTCTCGACTCAGACTCGACCCTTCTAGGGCTGTATTCAACCAAAGAAAATCTTGGTCGACTGAAGTTCTGACATTTTCGGCTAAAAATTGACTAAAATCGACTAAAAATGACGTTAGAAAAAAAAAAACGTTAAATTAATTAGCTGCGCACAGTGCGCAGTACTTGGTAGCCTTGTTGCCCACTTACATGAATTATAAATAAACATAAAAAAACTAGTAGGCTATTTGCAGTATATTAAATCATTTTTGACCTAATTATTTTGCACTGAAATGTGTCTGACACACGAGTCTGTCGGCTCTGACAGCGTTGCATCCCGTGCACCTGCGCAATATCATGATTTCCGAAAATAGTACTATGTTGTCAACTAGTGATATCATCACAAGAACTGTTGAGGAATATGCAACATAATTTAGACAATTATTTTTTTGTCATATGTTATAATAATAAGTTATAACTGTCAGACACTATCATTTCAGCCGCTCTGTGCATGTCCTCGCACAGGCTGAACATAGGAGAGATCAGCTTCGCAGCCGAGACACGAACTTAAAGCTTTTACTCTTAATAAACACACTTTAATAAAAAAAAGAATATTTATTAAACAAACCAGATCAAGAGCAGAAACGAAATAAAGTGCATAACTGAAAAATAAAGCATAGGCTCAAAACTAACACAAACAGTCGGCACAGCTCAAATTGCGCATTAGGCTCCAAACAAAAAATAACAAAGTTAGGTTATCACACTAAAACATTGAAATATGTGAATTCTGATATGTTCATATAGCCTACTCAAAACAGACAGGGCAAGCTAACGCAGACAAGTGAGCTTACCACTTTTAGATGATTTGTCATGTTTGTCGTCGAGCTGCGGAAAACTGTTGCTTGCAAACTTTGCATTCGACCTTTTTCCGTTATCAATTTTAACAAAATGCTGCCACACTGTCGATTTCTTTGTTGTTGACATGTTAGAAGAGGACTGACTATTAAACGCTCTCACAATTAAATAAATAATATTCAGCATCAAACCTTCTATAGCCTACTTATCGTTCTCTCTTGGGTTGAGCTAATCCAAAAAAGGTGAAAACAAGGGGGGTATTCTGAAGACAGACTGTTACCTGTGAAACAAGGGTACTTTGAAAACACCCCCATTAGCAGTTAGTGCTTCCCACCTGATGAAATGAGCGCGCCTCAGCGCGGCAAAAATGATGAAATGAGCGTGCGTCAGCGCGGCAAAACTGATGAAATGAACGCGGAAAAAAATCGTCCAATCAGAATTTTGGTCGAACCAGAACGTATCGACCAACTAATCGACTAATCGACTAGGACAGTACAGCCCTAGACCCTTCAAAGACTCGGTCTTGACTCGGACTCGGCATAGGCGGTCTGGTCCCCATCACTACCAGAAAGGTTCAAACGACAATCACCAGTGACAACTGGAGACTCACCTGTTGTAAAATGCAAAAGACTTCGGAGTGGCTACAGAAAGAAAAGAGACTGCAACCGGACCCATGCGAAAACAAGGATAATATCGGAAGGGCATTAAATGTAGTCACGCAATGCAGATGTTGAACATTCATAATTTGAGAACAAAGTATAATTTGCACGGTTTGACGCGATATGATAAACGATCGTTAGATTTAATCAGCGTGATTTCCGCGAATAAATGCAATTGCAGATTTCGAACAGAGATGGCGACAAATAGGAAAAACTACGGACTGCAGCTTTAAGTATAAAAGCAAGTTATCTGATTTCTTAATTTAAAGCTATGAATCACTCTTACTCTCCCAGTTATTTAGGACCGCTCGAGAGGTCTCTCAAGTGGTCAGAAGTTGCCAGTAGGGACTTGTGATGGCACTGAGGAGCCATCCGTGCGTGAAACTTTCAGGAGAGAAATGTTTGATGATGAGCAGTTAATATATGGATGAGTCACGATCTTCAAATTGGCCTATTCGATTAGTTTATTTAATTATAGAATATCCAATAGGTTGTGCGATTATTGTCCAAAAAAAATCACCATGTTTTCGGTGCTGATGAGGTGGTGACGCGTTCATGCAACCAGAGGGGGACGCGTCGCTGCCAATAACGCACCTAAAAGCTGTCACAAAAAACGACAAATGTAATGATTATGAATGTGTCAAATATAGCAAGAAGACATTTTAATTGTTTATTAATAAACTAGTGTTTTCTGTGTCGGTGTCGGCTGCACAGATGAAGTTGATGATGCTGACTCGCCATCTTCGCAGTATTATGAACGAGTGAACGAGCCTATAGAGAGAAATGCACATTTCATACGGATTACATAAGCAGAGAGTAGTATGTTTCTTTTCGTTTTGAATTTTGTTTAAAAGTAGACATTTCAAGCTTTCTATTTATTTCTCATGTCTGTGAGGCGAGTAGCCTATACGCTGAGTTTGGGTTGATTTATGAGACGAGCTCCAGTTAACGCGCCGGCGCCTCCGTGTGCTGATTATATTGTCTGCTATATTTGCTACTTATTTATTAAATCCAGGCAATTGGTTGATGAAACGGTGATTAAAATTAGGATACAATTTATTTCTACAAAACAAAACTTAATAAAGTGGTCAAAATCATGTCTGGCACATCTTATGATCCCGTCTTACTCATGCTGTTCACTTTTCATATAATCAACATAGATGAAATTAAAAAATAACATTATATTATGTAAACATAAATATGAAATATGATTTTAAATCATAACATCTAGGCTGTATTAAAATGTGTAATTAAGACATGTTGGAAAACGTGTTAATCTTTAATTTCCAATGTGAATATCAATGTATTCTCTTGAAAATTATTTATTGTTAAATGTGTGCTGAATGTAAACTCCTCTTAGGAATTTCACCATTCAATGTCAATTTATCTGAGAATATTCTTAATTGAGGAAATCTATTCAGTGATTGGTCCATCCATTGGTCCAATGTCGTCACACAAAATCCCCTTTGTGGCACAGCAAAGTGTCGTGAATCATCTCCAGACTGACACTTAAGATTTAGCCCTGCACTTCGCTTAAATTACGACTGAGATGCTTGATAACTAACTTTTAAGAGCAGCTTTGAGCCAATAATTTTTTTTTTCACTCTTAAGTAAATTCTTAGCAGTGTTCTTGCGAGTAATTCTCAGAGGCTTGATAAACACGGGCCCAGATCATAAGCTGATCACATCTAAATGAACACAGTTCGCAGATAATCGCATTAAGCCATATCGCCATTTCGGTTTTATTTCATACTTTCATATTATTTCAGTCTCATATATCCACTTTTGTAGTCAGAAATGCTCATTGTGCAGCCTGGGAACATGACTGATACAAGCCTGTGCATGCAAACTCTCTCAAATTGCATGAAGCCACCAAATCGGATATGAGTCATTTTTCTACGCATCAGAATTGTGAAGCCTGTGGGTGGCTGGTACGTCTGAGCCTGACACTTGATCTTTAAATATATTGTTCCTGTAAGTGTGTGTGCGCATCTTTCAGCCTTTATACTAGAAAGAAAGACTGCAATTATAGTCATGTGAAACTATATCATGTCTTTTATCATCTGCAACTCTGTCTGTAGGATGTGAGCGACCCCAGAAGCCTGCCGTATGCCTCCACATGGCGGAAGTTTCCCTTCTTCTTTGGAACAGCCATATTTGCTTTCGAGGGAATTGGAGTGGTGAGTTTATGATTCAGGTTTTATTTATTTGATTTCGATACATCTACTATTTTTTTTATTGGTATTGCATAAATTAAGGGATAATAATAATGGACAACTCTATTGCTTCGTCCACTGTCATTTCCTGTTCGTTTGTTTTTTTCTTTCGCTGAGCTTGTTGCAATGCAGTATGGGATTTCCTCTGCAAAGGTTACATTTCCATAAATATATTTTGGCAGATACTTTTATCCATAGCGACTTTTTCAGTGCAGTATTAATATTACAAAACAGTTTTTTGAATATTTTCTTCTTTAGAACAATTTAAAGGGGCTATATGTAAGAATATTCATGTATTAATCGCTTTTTTTTGATTGCCAGCATGTGAACAGTTTGTAACGAAACTTAAAAACTTCCTAGGTCGTCTTTGAAAGCCTGTAGACTGATTTTTTATGTGAAGGACTCAGGATGTTTTTTTCCTGGGAAAAACAAAAGGATGTAACGTTTACATGCTCCCGAGAGCCTCTACTGTTCAGTGACACATGAAACGAATGCTTATACAATGTTCAGGATAATAAAGAAAGAGTCATTCTGTACTGTAATGTTAATGTGTCATGCTAATTCAAACTATAGTCTTACAGACACATCTATATAGTCTATAGCCTCAATATACAGATCAGATGCTCTAAACTGCTGTTTTCTCACCGCTGCCATTTTTGTTGTGTTTATTTTGTTATTGAGAGGAAAACGCACAGCACATTTAAGTATTCATGAACGCCGTCTGGATGTTCGTTAACAGTATTTCCAACTTTTTTACCCCTAAGTGAAGAATGAAAAATAACTTTGAACATGATTCAAGGCTCCAATATACTCACTGCAGTCTCTTATTGCTTGTGCTCACAAAACATACAAGTTGCTAATAACAAGCATTTCTGAATTCTACTATAGCCCATTTAATGTACATTTATAATGCCGTGCATTGGGTTGGTACCCTAGCATTAAATTACAAAAAATTAAAGTCTACTGTAAGTAGGTGATGGTAAATTTGACTTCTTACTCTCTTCTGACCATCAAAATCCATCCATTTCTATTGAAAAGTCATCAAAGACAATAGTGGATTTTTTTTTTTTTTTTTTTTTTTTCACAATTAGAGCAAATGGTAATGCACAAATGATATTTGCTATGGTCTCCGGAGTGTGCATGTGATGCCCGGAACAATGCTTCACCATCTACCAATATTCTGTATGTCCTGTTTTGTTTGTGTAGGTTCTTCCGTTAGAGAATCAAATGAGCGAACCGAAACGATTCCCTCAAGCCCTCAACATTGGCATGGGCGTCATCATCGTGCTTTATGTGACCCTGGCGACGCTGGGCTACCTCTGCTTCAGAGACGACATCAAAGGAAGCATCACACTCAACCTCCCGCATGATTCCTGGTAACATGCGCTCATACTTGCTTAAAAAGTCATCGAAGTGGTGGTGTGGGTGAAAATATAATCTCATATATATGCTATGGCGCGTTAGTGCTCATGTGGGAAAAACGGGTTCAAGTCCGGCCTGCGACATGTTCCCATTCGACTCCCTTCTCATGCTTTTCCGTCCTCTCTCAACAACCTCTATAAGTAAAAAGTGGCAAATGCTGAAAAATCTAAGCGTAAAACGTCCCATCCATCAGATCAATGTAGTTAGCGCAGTTAAATTCAGAGAATAATATGAAACTCCTCGTCCTCTGCTCTCCCCTGCGCTCACTGTCGAAATCGTCTCGAGTGATTGATCGCAGCTCGGAGCAACTTGAGATCAAATTACCCAAGAAATCAAAACCAGCTGCTTTCAAGTTTAGCTTTAACTAAAGGCTGCCATTTCCAACTAACTTCCATCGAGACTTTTATTAGCAGTTAACGTATTTCTAGATCTCATTAGCATCCTGTCAGCCGAGAACAGTCTGTCACCAGAGCCAATATCTGATTTAGCAAATCGGCTGCTGCCATTTAAAGAAGTGTGACATGCTTCTGAAACTGTTAAACAATGCTTTTTTTTAAAAAGAAACTAGTTATTTTATTATGCAAAGATGCATTCATTTGATCAGTAAAGACTTTTATATGGAAGTATGAATAAATCAAATAAAAAAAATCATGGAAAAAATGGCATCAGTTTCCACAAGAATATGAAGCAGCACAACTGTTTTCAACAATGATAATAATAACAAAATGTTTCTTGAGCATCAGATCAGCATATTAGAATGATTTCTGAAGGATCATGTGACACTGAAGACTGGAGTAATGATGCTGAAAATTCAGCTTTGATCACAGGAATAAATTACATTTGACTATATAGTCAGATGTTTTAAATTATAATAATGTTTCACAATGTTACTGTTTTAATATATTTTGGATCAAATAAAGGATGGTGTGGGTTAATGGTTTTTCAAAGTCTCAGTTTCTGCGTTGAGTTTCCTTTAAAGGCATGTGTTGAAATGGTGCATTGCATCACTGACATTCCTCAACCCGTAATTGCACATTCTGTGATTTCTGATGTGTGTGTGTGTGTGTGTGTGTGTGTGTGTGTGTGTGTGTGTGTGTGTGTGTGTGTGTGTGTGTGTGTGTGTTGCAGGTCCAATCAGCTGGTGAAGGTCTTGTACTCGCTCGGCGTGTTTGTGAGTTTTGCAGTTCAGTTTTTCGTGCCGGCAGAGATTCTGGTTCCGCCTGTGTGTGAGCGGATCAGAAAGAGCTGGAGACGGGCGGCTGATCTCAGCCTTAGAGCGGTGCTCGTCTGCCTCACCTGTGAGTGTGTACACACACACACGCACACAAACACACACTAGGGTTGTGCCAATGGACGAAATCATTGTCCATCGTGATGCCACGCCCCCCACCCAGACACACACTAATCTTAGTCTCTAAACTTTGCAGGGATTGCTCTGTAAATTCAATTGAGAATATAACTAATGCATATGCATTCTATTTAAATACTGTAGTCTATGCCAGAGACGCGACACGCCCGTTTCACACATACTCTGTGTGCATGCGATACGCATACCATCATATCATCGTCCATCGCGATGTTTTACTGTAAACATAGTCAACTTCCAATTTAGGGGACATCGCCTAACCCTAACACACACACACAGACATACACACGCACAGAGACACAAGCTCACATACAGACACGCACAAACACACACGTGCACAAAGACACGACATAGACAAACACTCACACACACACACACACAAAACAACACACACACAGACACACACATAATGTGTTAAAAGACAACAAAATCGTCACTTCCTGAGAAATTGGCGTAAAATATCTGTAATAAAAATGGAAGTTGCTGCAGTCAGGGAAGAAACTGGCTCTTTTTTCCTCCATCATAGAGGAGTTGCGTCTCAAACCCCAACAAACACTGTCATGTTATTCAGCATTAGGACGCTTCTGGGAGGGAATTAAACCAAATCATTCTGATGACAGACTTTGGCTCAGGCGTTTCAGAACGACGTTTGAGATGCTGTGCGATGAAATCGGTCCATTGGTTAGTCCAGTTATCTGATCATCCACTTTTGAGGCAAAGTCACATGACCTTTTTTGTTGCGCATCGAGGGATTTATTCAGTAAACGTGTTTCCATTGTTGTTTATGCACATGCCGTATTAATGAGTAAAAAAAATGATCCACCCCAATTGAGCGCATTTTAATTTGCATCTTGGCGTTTCCATTATTTTTTATGAGATAACGTAAAATTTGCATAAAATAGGTGACTGGTAACATAGTTATAGTCACATCTTTCATAATGAAAGCAGTCCCAGAATGCATTGTGCAGAGCTCAGTGACAACAAACACATCCAAGATGGTGAATATGGGTTTGTTCTGCCTATGTAGGAAACTCATTTTGTGTTATGCTTCATCTTCATCATCCGCTTGGTTTCCCTCCTATATTTGCACTCGCTCCACCCATCCATCCGTTAGTTGTTGTTGTTTTTTTTGCTTCCCTCATTTTTTCCCCCTATTCCTATCTTCTCCTCATCCTAATCCTCCCTCTAGTATTCATTGGTGATGAGAGAGAGATAGTGGAGGATTGTACCCCTCCCAAAAATGATGGATGGATCCTGTGAACCATTGTAAACCTGAAGGTTTTTGGATTATTTTGATATATGTTTTTTATCTTTGGAAAAATTGAGTCTGCCACTGAACCGTGAACTACCCAGAGACCTAAAATATGAAAATAAATATTTGTTTAACACCGGCAGTCATTCAGGGACAAGTGAGAGAGCGTTGCTATGAAGAAAGAGAAGGAAAGAGGAAGAGAGCATGTTGCAAGAATTGTGTTCGCACGCCGGAGAGTGAAAGAAAAGTGATGGTGTGTTTTTGTATTCGAAACAGAGAAAAATGGAGTGAGACCGTGTGAAACGCAAGCCGACTTCATGTTATGTGTATATTTTATTCTATTTAATTTGTTTCCAATTACCTTTCTATCAGTTTTTCTATCTATCTATCTATCTATCTATCTATCTATCTATCTATCTATCTATCTATCTATCTATCTATCTATCTATCTATCTATCTATCTATCTATCTATCTATCTCGTTAGCTATCTATCCTTCTTGCAATCTACCATTCCAGCAAGTTATATTGTTGTATCCATCTATCATTCTATGAAAATACAATCAATCTTCCCTCCTTCCTTCCCTCCCCAGTGTCTCTGCTCACTATTCATTTCAGTCTTTTGTTCTATCCATCTCTCTAGTCTCCTAGGACATATCACATTCTCCACTTATAAGATTTCTTTTATTGCATCCATGACTCTTTTTCTTTTGTCCTGACCTTTCAGTCATTCGCTACTCTCCGTCTCTCTGTTCAAAGGTTTAGTTGCAACATGCCGACATGAAAGAAACATGAATGCCTTGTAAATCCATTTTTTAAAGAACAGAACTTAGTGGCGGTTCTTAATTTGAGTTCAATGTTCACAATTCATTGCTAAACTACATTTATATTTCCGAATTATGCATTTCTGAGTAAAGCAATTGTCGGTGGGAAATGATGTTGGGTGGGACTTGATTTTATCCATTGGGGTTTGATTGGTTTATTGGCCAAGATATTATTGGTTAATATTATTTTCTCTACCCACATAGCAGAAAAGTCATTTCAGAGGCAGAGAAAGTCATTACATTTTGATGAAAGATTATGTAAAACATTTTTTTTTTCTTTACCATGAAATGCGCCGGTAAGCTGTGTACAATGAGACTATGGACATTTATTAGCAAAGAAAATAGCAGGGTTCTTACTTTCTTGGAAATTATTTTAATTATTTAAATTAGAAATGGAAACAGAAGTAAAATAAATTTTTTAAAAAGGCCTGGAAAAGTCATCTGAATGAATGAATGAATAAATAAATAATATAAATGTTTCTAGTTATGCACAGCTCTAAATTATTTATTTGCCTACAAATTGCTGTTTTTCAGTGCAAAACTTGAAAACTATCTATAAACAGTTAGGCATGGGAAGCCAGAAATGGGGTCATTTGTTTATTTTATTAATTTATTTACAGATTTCTTTAATAATACATAATTTATGGATACAAAAAGTAGTTGCGTATTATATATATAATAATGATATACTAATAATGATATAAAGTTTATGGATATAGAGTTTTAAGGATAAAAAAAACAAAAAATTTAAATAAATGTGTATATTTTATGTTTTTTATTTTCTATTTAAACGGTATATCCATAATTTATATATCACTATTAGCCATATCACATGCATCAGCTGCGTTTTTCGGTTCTGTTGGACACTTTAGTGAGGCGGATTGTGGCTATATCCACGGACACTGCAGATAATCTGCGGGTCGGTTGGGCCAAGTAATAAAGTAACAAACTGATTAATTACGGGTGGGTGGATGAGAAATCATTAATGATGGAAATATTTCGTCAGGCAGTAATTTCAATCGGAGAGACATTTCAAAAAGCTGAATTAAGAACAAAGCAAAAGGGAGTAGTTAACCAGGATCAATCAAGTGCTGGGAATATGATATGTAACTGCTGTGAAGCGCTGTTTATGGCAAACTCAAAAAGCCTATATCCAGCCTTTGCTGATCGGATTTAATTTGTTATGCGTTCAGGAAGTTTCAGTGATGGAAACAGTGACATTCCCATTGCAATTTTGCCAAAGAATAACTTTGTCTTTAAAACAGCCTACTTCAGTGAAATGTGTCACCATATCATCACCCTTAACACAGAATTAGAATAATTGTATTGTGATGATCAGGGGAGGAAATCTAAATCAGAGAAAAATCATAGGTTCCGGTGACAGGCGGGTGGATGAGCTATTTGTAATTCGGGTGTAGTTAGAGCTGATCTCTTCTGCACATAGCTCTTCTGAGGAAGTTTTAGAAGAGACCCGTAGAAGTGCTGTTGGACAGAGGGGTAATGAGCTCCGAAGGTTGCGGGTCCGTGGCCCGTGCTGGAAGATTGACAAAATGAAAAACTCATCTTTTTCTCACCTATGCTGTCTTTTTTCTCTCTCTGTGTTCTTTCTGCCTGATGTGCTTCCTCCCTCTTTTTCTGGCTCAAGGCCGTCACCCCCCTGAGCACCGTGATAGATTACGGGTGCATTGTATGTATGGATGTATGGAGTGTGTTTGTGGCCGTGTATGTCTTTTGTGGTGTGTGTGTGAGAGCTGGGGCAGAGTTGAGGGACTCATTCAGTGTCTGGTCATTTATCTCAGTCTTCCTGAAACTCTGTGAATTATTACCTGCCTGCCCTACGGAGACAGGCCCATCATGGAGCTCTCCCCTGAGGCCTGTCGCGGAGCTCCGTGATATCACGCACCTGCACGCTGAGGCCCATCTCTGAGATTCAAAGACGCCTCTGACTTAACCACTTTGTAGAAAGTTCACTGGTAACACAAACATTTCTGGTTCGATCCATACAAGAATCAAGTCACGTAACCCCAGGTTGCTGCACTGACAGTTGTGGCCAAAAGTGATGTCCAGCCTAGGGAAATTTACACCTTTACAAATTTACAAAAATCGCGTTTTTGTCAAAGACTATGTCTGGATCAGGTTCAGTGCGATGATCAAAACAAAGATTGAGTAGATCGAGTCCATCAACAACAACCCCCAAAGCTTGCACAGTCCCATAGCTCGCCCTGGGTCAACGTTTCACTCGGAAACATTAGAGCTAACATTCTTCATCTTCAGTAGTTTAGTCTCTGTTTAACACTTCTGTCTAACACGTTATTAGATTGAACTGTTAAACAAAGATAATAAACGGTATATGAAAAAGTAATAGAAAGGCAAACATTAATACGTTCTCATTTACTGTCAGCATTCAGCAATATGCATTTATATTATTTAAACAATATTTAAAAATATCTAATAAAACATTTAATTTCACAAACCTTGCATACTAAGTCGAATCCAGATCTTCTGAAGTGCGCACTTTTAGCCTGCGTGATCGCGTGTACTTTGGGACGTTCGGTCCGTGCGAATTGGATGCGGATCGCTGTCGCACTCAATCGACAAACTTTGAACCCTTGATTTTAAAATATGCTGCGCTATATCCAGTTGCCCAATATGTCATATTCATGTCATTTCCACTGTGCGCTGTATTTAAAATGAGTGTTACCTTGTCTTTATTTGAAAAAAAAATATTCCCAGTGCATACAAAATTACTAGAGTGCCCTGTTGGTTACAGGGTTTACTTTAATTTTCATAAATGAATGAATAAAAAAAGGCTGTAATAGGATTACAGAATCAAGAAGTTGCCAACTAAAGTATGTCTG